CGAGATTATCCCTGTTTGACGCAGTCCACCACCGAGAAGCTTACGCATCCACCTCGCTCTTGTTATGAACTCTGTGTTCCCCACAATCACAGATCCAATGGGTGCTCCCAGACCCTTGGTAAAACATAATGAGACGCTGTCGAAGCACTCGCAAAATTGACCAAGAGTACCTGCGCCCGCGACAACAGCCTCCCATAGCCTTGCACCATCAAGATGCATGTGTACCGGTGGGTCTTGAAGTTTAGCCCATGCGGAAATATCTCGGATTTCGTCGAGGGGCATGACTGTTCCGAAGAGTGTATTCTCGAGGCTTATAACGCGGGTGGGACAGTCATCTATGCACACAACATTAGCACACGTGTATTAACATGTAAGTCCACTCACAGATATCCTTCTTGAATATGAAGTGCTTTTTAATATCTTCTAGCGTCAAATGATGGCCATTTGCTGGGATGACACCGTGAATGAGAGCGCCACAGAGAGTCGCTGCCCCACCTGCCTCCATGTTGAGGATATGACTGCGATGGTCCGCAAGGATGGAGTATGGTGGGGTGGTGAGGGCTGTCCGGAGTGCCACTTGATTGCTCATAGTCCCAGAATAAGTAAGAAGCGCTCTTTCGTGGCCTGTCAATTGAGCCATCCACTCCTGGAAATAGTTAGTGGTTGGATCCTCCATCATCTCGTCGTCTAGAAGTGTTGTGTTGACGATAGATTCGAGCATGCTCATATTCGGGGAGGTAACAAAATCAGACCGGAAGTCGTAGGCGGCTCGACCGGGTGTACTCCAATTGTTTTGTGGGAGGCCGACATCGTGTACCTCTACTGGGTGTTCGGTCTGGCGGACAATTGTCATGGCTGCGTATGCTGGGAATTATTGCCCAGTCAAAAAAACCTATAGAGTTGTTTGAGAATTGTAGCGAGGATAATGAGGGTGTACATCGTCGTTCATTTATTATGCCGCTGTCGGGCAAAGTACGTGTCGGCTTTTTATCTTTTCGCACCAGTTTAGAGCTATTTCTTCCCGAAAGCTTCACCATAATCACGTCAGAGCCCTGAGGACTTTTTCTATGCGTGTAAGAAAAGCGACGCGTCAGATAAGAAATAATCCTGCACGTAAGAAACAGCTATGCACGTAAGAAGATCTGCGGCGTTGAAGCGGGACTCGAAGTAGCTATTTAGGTCTTCCTCCGCTGCAAGGTCATACATGGCGCATCAAGGTTTGATACAATGGCCTAATATGGCTAAGTCGGGGTAAGGCACCATGCACATGTCCATAAGAGTCCGATGAGGTGCGAGCAAACCACCTTGGCCTCAGGTGAATGTCTGACAGAGTCTGGGGTTTCCGATGTCTCCATGGAGTAATAACCACACGCTCGGAGTAAACTGGGAAAGTCACCAGCTCCCCCACATTATGCTATGGCCAATAATCGGAACGCCGAAACTCTAAGGGGGGTTGGTAAGGCGATGTCATAGTACAACGGCGAGCAAGATATTGCACTTGAAAGAGGGGTAATAGCAGTGGGGACATATATAGGAGTCGCCTGAGCAGTCAATCCTGAGGGCATATGTCACCGTTCGAATCAACGAAAGCTCCGTCCTCTGCCAATTTCACATGGTAATCACAATGTCATCTCATCGGAAGGATAACATCGGCGAACTCATCGAATTCGCACGTTCCCATTCCCCGTTTTACCAACGCGTTCTTGAACATGTTCCGACAGGCGCCAAAAGTATTTCTGACCTTCCTGTCATCGACCCCGACGAATACTGGAAGGCGAACACGTCCAATCCCAATGGGGTAATGACTCGGCCTCTGATTGATGGCACGGTCATGCGCAGTGGCGGTTCCACTGGCACTCCCAAGCAAGTTGTCATGACCAAACAAGAGCTGTCAACTCATGGCAAAGTCACCGCCAACGCGATGGCTCATGGCTGTGGCTTCCTCCCTGGCGACCGTGTGGCAAACATGTCCTTCCACGGCTCTTTGTATGGGAGTTTCATGCTCTTGAATACAGCGCTACTCGAACTTCCTATACCAATTGTGCACTTGCCTATTAGCGGAAACGAATCCATTGACATGATGGCCCACTATATGAAGAAATTTGACGCTACTGTCCTCATTGCCAACGTTTCAACCACGCGTCGTCTGGCGGAATACTTCACTTCCATTAACGAGACTCTTCCAAGCCTTCGGCTGATCCTGTACACGGGCGAATGCTTTACCAAGGAGCTCCGTCCGGTTTACCGTGCAGCCTTCCCGAACGCCACCATTTATGTCCGCGAGTACGGCGGTATCGATTTTGGACACGTGGGCATTCCAGCACAGCCCTTCAAGAATGAAGATGACGACATTAAGCCCATCTACAAAGTCTTGGCGCCCTTGGTTATCTTCGAGATCTTGGACGAGGATGGCAATCCAATCATTACACCCGGAGTCAGGGGAAACGTGGTCATCACTAGCTTGCTGAAGAGGCAGCAACCATTGCTTCGCTACCCTGTTGGTGATATTGCTTCTTGGGTTGATTACGATGCGGAAACATTCTACATCCACGGACGTGATGCTGTCAGCATTAAGATCGCCACTACACATCTACCTGTCGCCTATCTCAGAGAATTGATCGTGAGGGTCCTTGGTCAAGGGAAGGCCTCAGGAAGCCAGTTTGTTGTGCGGCTTCTGAAAGAGACCCACGAGCAGGCGCTTGTCTTGAGGATTGTCGCGCCAGAGCCAGAGAACGCATCCGTCATAGCGAATGCGTTTGAAGAAATCTTGTGCCAGGAGAGCCCTACCTGGAAGAAGAACCGGAAAGTAAAGAACATTGCGCCATTGCAGATTGAATGGATCGAGGGCAAGGACCTGATTACGAATGCCGGCAGCGGGAAGTTACGCGACATTGTTGATGAGCGGTTTTCGAATGGAGTATGAAACGTCTACGTACAATTGTCATACTTTGCCAAGGCTGAGGGAAGTAGACCTATAACATAGCGAAATATATCAATCAACAACTGTAGTGTTGCCAAAAGTACCCACAGGGAATTCCTCTCTTCAGCACTCTATCGACTATAGGCTAAATTAGGCTAATAAATTATAGTGTCGCAGACCCTTGTTTCGGACGGACTAGCACCTCAACTCGAACCTTCCCACGTAGGACGGCTATGGATTGCAAATCTCCCCGTTGCTGTTGCCGAAGGTTGGATCAAGCAATGTCCGAAACGTTTTAGCCAGTGCTTGTTTACTCTGCTCAGTATGGACCCTTAGTCCACAGTAGCCTAGACACTTGCTAACCAAAGCCACATAATCATTTCCCTATACTCCTACCCCGCTCCTGCCGCTTTTGTCTGGCCCCCATCCTGAATCCTCTTTCCTTATGTCGAATTACCCGGAGAATCCTTTGGTTTTATTATTTCAGCTGGCGTGGGCGATCGTCACACCAAACTTGGATTGTGATGCGACTCCAAATATCTGCCTTGCATGGGCAAAACAAGTGGCAAACCCTCATTCAGATGATCTCTTAATGTGCCCAGAAAATCATCAGCACAAGTCTGGATCTCTTCAGATGAGATAAAATGGCGCGATTTTAGCGGCGGGTTGGACCGCCCGATCAATATACACAATATCGACGAGCCTATCCGCCGATGGTGATTAATACGACCGAATCACTAAAATGGCGACCATGGATCGGCTGCATCATGCAAGGGTCGTATGAAGCGGAGGAGCAGGGTCATCTTGCTTAGGCACGTGCTGCGGGCAGTCACCGGCGCACTAGGTATTTCCCTGTTGGTAGGAATAATCCGAAGTCTAGATTCATCAAAACTGGGCTAATATAGACTAGGTCTCGTCGAACGTTCCTCCGCTGCAATTTGCACTAACGAGAAGGGTCCTGCTTTGATAGATAGTACTTTGTCAGGATCAACCGGGCAGACGGCAAGACTGCCAAGCGGCTGACGCGATCTTCTCAGCAAGGCGCTCAGTCTTGCCCACCATCACCAGAGTTGGTACGCAAATAGGCGTACAGGATACTAATTTTGCGGCAGGTGGGGGCTTTTTCATGTCGCTACTGTGTCCTGACCGTCCAGACCGCTCTAGTATTGGCTGATCTAACCGGGAAAGGGATCTGGGCAAACATCTGGAATGCCCCCCAGTTTCAAGTTGGGCCAATCAATGTAGCTTTCTCATAGTACTTGAGAAAACGTGCGAGAACTTCTCCCCGGTATTGCTAGGAGACAGAGATATTGAGATTCTCATTACCCACCTGCATTTATAATGGTATGCGGCTCCTTATTGAGAGATGGCTCTTATCGCCTCACATTGGTCTTTCCTGCTTTATGCTCGTCACTCTTTTGGGAATAACTACTATCTCCAAAGGAGCATGTTTGTCGGGGCTTCAGCCAGTTTTGGATTCTAGGTGTTGCTCTTGTTGGGTGGGATATTAGTTAGCTGATGGGTGTGCTGAATTTAGGGTAGACTTCGGCTTAGTCCATTGCCGATCAATTGTTCAAGTCAAATAGTGGTATGGGTATATTTCATGAAGGCATATTGGCCGTTCAACGTGCATACAAACTGACCAGCTTCATCTGAGCTTTCACAGGAACTGCGGGCGCAGAATGTGCTTTTTGTTTCACAGTGTATGATATTGTGGACGAAACTACCCTCGATTGTGTTCATATCCAGCAATCATGACGCGCACGCCCTCCAAAAGAATTGGGATGGTTTTCCCAGGTCTAATAGGATCTACAATATTCCAATACGCTAGTATGATTACGCCAAGAAGAGCAGGTTATACACCAGCTGCGCCGAGTATTTATTTCTGGGTGCTACTTCTAGGAAGGCTAATATGTAAGCTATATCGAGTCATCACGAATATTAGCAAGGCTGTACTTACCTTTTGCATTCATATAGTCTCAAAGCTCAATAACAGCTTGCGGATTTGACTTCTCTACCCCTTCAATTCTACGATGGACTCATTCCTGGACCCCAGTATGACAGAGATCAGATTACAGCCATGTCCATCACAACGAAAAAGAATCCAAAACCGCATGGCGCAGCGGAAATTTCGTGAGTCAATACGAATTCTTCCAACTATCGAGGTTCCATCTAATAGTTCTGTATCATCCTATAGGCGAAAAAGCTAAAGCCCAGAAACAATCACATCCTCCAGACAATCAAGCCAATACCATTGGTAATGGAAAAAGCCACGATGCACCGCCCAATCTGCCGTCACGGATAATGGACCGTGAGCCCCACGATAACGGGTATGCATACTTGACATCGGGGAACCATGTTGGACCTTTGTCTGCATTCACCTGCAGTATTCCAGGCCTCCTGGCAGACAATGTACAAGAGTCCAATCACAATACATGGGAAGATGCTCTTTTCACACTACCGGAAACTATCGAACAATCACCATATGATTTGCAGACATCAAGCCTTGAAGAGCAATTTTTCAAGTTCGTATAGCTTCCTCCTAAACAGGATCGTGCATATATCGTTCATTATCAGTTCGCTTACCACGCCTGCCCCAAAATATAGGCCTTGTCCTCCTACCGGAGCCGACTGCGGTATCCTTGACCCCAATTTGGCGTTCTTCGGTAAACCACAAGACCAACAGAAAGGGCAACGTCCAGAGGAGAGGCATAGATGCAGATCTACAATTGATACCTGTCATTGTGATCGTGTGGGTATACTCTTGATCAATATATTTCTTCTGGGACTAACCACCCCATCAAGGGACATCCTAATCCACCGAAGCACGCCCACAGAATCGTTCAGTACCAAAGAGCAAAGTTATTATATCAGACCGAACACCTTCTCGAGAAAGTTGAATCTCTATACGATGTCGGCATCTCGCTTGGTGTTTTGGTAGACAATCACCACCTTCGGGATCTTATTAGGAGAGCGTTAGAAGGATTTCGTTCCCAGCGGGGTTTGGAAACGTACAATCGTGCTGAGGAACACCTTGGGGTGTAATAGGTTAGGGGCTTATACAGTATATGGATATTTTCGATGATAGTTTTCTGGATGCTTTCAATCGCACTACATAGGGGAAATGTTTCTCCTGCTTGGTACTTGACTTCTCAGATACACTATTCCGAATCTTCGTAAAAGAAGCCAATGGGGCTTGGAGCAAGAGGTTGGCACTTTCTAAGCTACCTGAATTATCCTACTTTCTCCGGTGACATCTCAAATATACCAAGATCTTTTTGACTGCAATATGAGATAGTGTTTCTCAGGTTGGCTCCAGAGCGGTTTCGAACCCAGTTTTCCAAAGCGTGTCGGTGCCTTCCAAAGGCATCACCTCTGGTACCTATTAAACTATTTTCCCTCAAGAAAAAGTCCAAGACCTTAAAGCAAGCGGAACCGACTTCCAAGCAATGATGTGTCCATATTAGTTAGTACTTAGTGATGCATTGGGCATTGGTGGGGTTTGCTCAAGGAATAAAACCAACCTGATCGGAATGAAAGCGTGGACCTTGAACTCCGACCATGCAATTTCATTCCGACGGAGTAAATCGATGCTCGGAGTTCATTACCCACGAACGATCAACAATGACATTGCCAGATCTACTTTTCATTCCGTCTCATTCTGCACATTAAATTTAGGGATTTAATTGAATGCTAAATATTGAAATATCACTGGAACAGAGATACCTTGCTCACGCTAACTTGTTCGATCAACGTTCATTTCCGTCTTCATTTACCCAGCTCCCTGTCGGAGGTTTTTTCAGGGTTTAGACGGAGAACTGAGCGCGCACGGAATAGATAAAAATGGGCCAAGATGAAGAAATTATCAAGCGGGAAGAGTGTGCGAGTGATGGGAGTACCGATGATAAACTCGTGAGTGTGTCAAAAACTATGCCCAAATTGAAGATATTATACTAACGACTATAAGGTCACCTGGGACGGGCCTGATGACCCAGAGAATCCAAAGAATTGGTCTACTCGTCGGAAGTGGCTAGCAGTGATCTCAATCTCTGGCTTCGTTCTGATGAGTCCGCTTCCAACTACTATTGTCTCTCCGGCGATAGACACCATCGCTGAAGAACTTAATGTCACAGTGACAGTTCAGAAGCCTATGGTTATGTCAATATTTCTCCTCGGCTATGCCATTGGGCCCATGTTCATTAGTCCCTTGTCTGAGATTTGGGGACGGACACGGGTACTACAGTCATTCAACTTTGTGTTTCTGGTCTTCAATACTGCGTGCGGTGTGGCAAGGAGTATTGAGCAATTACTTGCCTTTCGGTTCTTTGCTGGACTGTTTGGAAGTTGTACTGTTGGTGTAAGTTACCAATTTCCTAAAGTAATTATTCTACGATGATGCTTAGCTTCAAGTATAGATCGGAGCTGGAACTCTCGGAGATCTGTTCCAAGCCAAAGATCGCGGTAAGGCCATGGCAATTTACAGCATATTCCCTCTTATGGGACAAGTCTTGGGCCCTATTGCCGGGGGCTTTTTGACAGAGCGCACGTCATGGCGTTGGGCGTTCTACGCAACGTCCATCATAGACGGCTGCGTGCAGCTCTTCGGACTTCTCTTCCTCGACGAGTCATACACGCCCGTTCTTCTACGAAGGAAAAGAGATCGACTCGCAAAAGCAGGAGCCACAGGTCTCTACACAGAACACGACTTCCCAAGCGACTCTAAGCTTGAACTGATTCGGACAATCATGATCCGCCCAATCAAGCTCCTCTCAACGCAACCCATAGTGCAAGTCATGGCATTGTACCAAGGCTACCTCTACGGCAACATCTACATTCTCTATTCCTCCATTGCAGTCCTCTGGACAACCCGCTACCACGAGAAACTAGACATAGCATCACTCCACTACCTTGCACTGGGCCTAGGAACAGCCTTCGCAGCAGAAGTAGCAACCCACATCAACGACCGCATATTCCGCATTCTAACTAAACGGAATGGAGGAAAAGGTCTGCCTGAGTTCCGCATACCCATCATGATACCTGCTACTGTTGTCCTGTCTATCGGGCTGTTCTGGTACGGATGGAGTGCGGAAGCCCGTATATTCTGGCTGATGCCGGACATTGGCATTGCACTTTTCGCGGCTGCGGCGTACATATGCACAGTCTCGAATAATATCTACGTGGTGGATACTTATGGGCGATATTCCGCTAGTGCTCTTGCTGCGACATCAATGCTGCGATGTCTGGCGGGCTTTGTGTTTCCGTTGTTTTCTCCATATGCGTGAGTTTCCATCTTCCCTGCGAGCGGAGTGGCATTGCTGACAAGCACGTAGATATGAACGGATAGGGTATGGCTGGACCTCAAGCATACTGGGTATCATCGCACTGTGCATTGGCCTGACGGGTGTGATATTCATTTGGAAGTTTGGGCATGTATTAAGGAAGAAGAGCCCTTATTGTGCTAGTCGTGATGTTGATGATTGTTGAGAGTCGATGAACCCGGTTCTATTGATTCTACTCGAACAAATTGGAGTCAATGGGACAGCCTTCTGGAGTAGTTTCAACAGTGGTCTATTAAAAAAGCATTCTAGTCAGACGTTATAGAATAGAGATCTCGCTTGCAGCTCCCAACCCCAGCATATGCGAACATAATCATTCTTCTGCAGCGGACACTCCATTCACCAGCGCATGAGCTTCTTGGGTCCAGCCCAAGCATCATTCTGGCGGTGCCTATACCGCCAACCATACCATAAAATCTAAACGGGGACTCTAACAAACAAAACCAACCAATCCTTCCAATTACCCAATCCGCTGCTTGCGTCTCACCCAAACTTCCTTCTCATCACCCCCACCCTCCTTTGGATCAGACAGATCCCGCAACTGCACCTCCCAAACCTTGAGCTTGTAATTGCCCCGATCCGCCTGCCCAGAGAAAAGATCAAACGACCAATCATGCTTAGGGCACGTTATCCCCGCACTCAGCGTGATCCCAAAATCCTCAATATCAAACAGGCTTCCCTGCGACAGTGGGAATGAGGAATGCGGACATTGCTATACCCCATCAGCATTTTATACCAATTACCGTGTCAATGATGGCTGATTAGCTAATTATTCTGACTTACATGATCAATAGCATGAACCTTCCCCTTATACTTAAACACAAGTACCTGATCTTTCAGATCATCAAGCGGACCATCAATCTCCGCTTCAACCGGTGCGGAACTTGACCCTGGCGTTGGGGTCTTCGGTATCGTAAAAGCCTTGCATTGCGATGTTACCCGACAATCGCCATTGTTTTCCGGAGAGTCTATGTCCGGGAAGTCGGAGGTGAGGCCGATGCGCTGCCAGCCGCCTTTTCCTCCGCTTGTTTGAGATCGGGAGAAGAAGGTGAACATGGCTGGTTGGTTGGCTGGTTTGGAGGTTTAGTGTGGAATATATTGCATGGATGGAAGGGGGAATTTGATGTGCTGCATGGATTGGATCGTATCGGATATCGGAATCGGATATGAAACCTGGCCCATGCTAATTTCTCGCCTGACCCGTGCTAACCGCTTTGGGTGATTATATAACCGATAATGAATATAGATCTGATCGGACCAGGTCAGGTCAGCTTTTATTTATTCATTCATTATTATTTATATTATTACAGTTCTCTGGGTCTTTCCTTTTCTTTTTATATAACATAATGGCTTAAAATAATCTATCTTTTGCACTGTATGTGCACTGTTATGCCAATGTCTACTCAATATAGTCCCTTTGATGTAAAATAGAGTATTGTTTCTTCCTGTAGGAATAAAAAGCAGCCTATTTACTATTATATAATGCAATAATGTACCACTCTCTACCTCTTAGAGGTTACCTTGGCTGCGCAGCTCGATCTGCTGGTCAATAATATCCCTGGTCATCTGCTCGAACGACCGCCACTGCATCCCCAATTCTGTCTCCGCCTTGGTCGTATCAACAGGCCAAGACGACTCTCCAGAAATATCGGTTGAGATCTTGAAGCCCAGGTGCGGGTACTCCTTCTTCACGATCTCTGCCACGTCCTTCCAATTGAACTTCTTCCCAGCGAGCAAGTACGAGGACCCGTCCGGGATATTGTCGGCCAAGGCCTTGACATGGGCCTCGGCAACATCGTCGATATGAACACCAGTGGTACTGATCATGGGTTTCCCACCGGCAACGGTGAGGAAGAAAAGGCCATTAGTGCCACTCAGATCCTCGGCAGTGGTCTGGAGGGCATTGCGTCCAAACACATAGGCAGGGTGAAGAGACACAAGGGAAAAACTAGGGTTCTCGGTCTTCTTGAAGTCCCAACTTGCTTGATTTGCGAGAAGCTTAGATGCATGGTAGAGCTGCATGCTCGTTGCTTCATCGCTGGCACCAGTCAAGTCAGCAGTCTGATCGACTGACAAGTCCCAGTCATTGTTCTCTGTCGGGTGCGGTCAATATCTAGCCAGAATACTCAAGTCAAAAGAATGCATCCAGCTCTGAGGGCTCACCTTTAATGACCCCTTCCTTGGGAAGACCCGTCATAGGTATCAAAGCGGCAATTGAGGAAGTAATCACCACCTTCTTAATGCTGCTAACTTTAGCAGCCTCCTTTAGGAGAGCCGTGGTGCCCTTGACGGCTGGGCCGAAGTATGTGTCAGGGTTGGTTCCATGGGGCAAGGGCGAAGCGATATGCAGCACATATTTAGCCCCATCTAGCTTTCCGGCAAAGGAAGACTGCTGGGTTATGTCCGGGGCGATGACAAATTCGATTCTGTCTTCATACTCAGAGAGTGCCGCCTTGAGTTTAGGAATCTGTTCTTCCTTGCGAACGCTCATGCGCAGACTATAGCCAGCTTGTAGAGCCTTGATAGCAACGGCACTGCCGATGAAGCCAGTTGCTCCAGTGATAAAGATGAGATCGGAGGACATGGTGATATGATCAGATGTAGGGATTTGGGAATAGTCTCAAGAGGGGGGCTCTGAAAAAATGTGTGACCGAAACAGATGTGATGTAAGATATGTGGAATTATCGAGCCAGCTTGTTGGTTGCGTCTCCGTTTCAGGCCTTGTCCTCTCACAATTCAGATACCCTTTATACTCTTGAAATTATGTTCTATACGGCTTTCATGTTCTATACGGCTTACATATTCAGAAGAGGATGATTATCAACCAGAGGCTGATTTGAAATGTTAGAATGCTGTACACCATATCCCGAGGTACATTTCGGACCAGATAACTAATCATGAAATCATGAAACGATTAACGTTCATTACGGGTTGGCCCGCCCCTTCAAGTTAACCTTATACGTAAAACTAGTATTGACTATCTGGACAACAATTCCATGTAAAGTGCGTCGAAATCTCCAGAATTTGGCAATGCACGAGGAGCATTAAACTCACGATAAAAGCTTTAGATTTTGGTCAAATTCGAAGTATTCATGGAGTAGTAGAGTTTTTACAGTGGATTTCGATAATACACACGTCTATTGTCCGGAATATCGAATTCGAAGGAAAGCTCTGCCACTATGCATTTCAGCCTCATCAGTGATACGGGTAGTATTTAAGAATCCATCCGTAATTCTTTTGTAGTTTTACCCTATCATATCGTATGCCAATATCTGCTGGAAAGCGAAAAGTGGGGTTGAGGGAGCAATTTGGGGACATTAGAAACGGGTAGTTCGGGAATATCACTAATCACAGTTGCAAGATATTTTCTGGTGGTTCCACATATTTCTTATTAATACCTTATCCGCTGAAGTTTGAGCCTATGCCATAAGGGTTGTCAAAGAATGTTCTACGAATAAGTTCGAACGATTATTAATACGGCTGTGGCTTTGACTGACTCGGCGGGGGGCAAACAATGGAACTGGGAATGTCTCGTCATCACCCCGACGGTTTATGCCATCACAAGTGTCAACTTTTGGCAAGATTGATGAAAGTTTTCATGATAATATGATTCATAATAGAGACACCTATCTATGTATACACAGTATGCATCGATGCTCCGTTGATTCTACTCCATGGTGGATAATCAATTGTTCCCTTCTTCTACATGCTCGCCCGCTGATCGGTTGATTTGTGATAGTATCTACGCTCAGCTGTTTGTGCATCAAGCATCAGCTACAATGATACCCCTCTTCAGAGGTGATTGGGCGGCAGAACCTAGAAGAGCATGCCAAGATCGATTGATTCAACTGATACCCTTAATGTCAACTAATTATAGCGATTCTGACTCAGTCCCCGGTTCCACCACTAATGTGGAACCACTGGGAATACTTTGGTGATTACTATTCATGCGAACAGTCGGTGGGATGAAATAATCAATCCGAACAACCATGAATCAAAGATTAGAGTGTCTCCGCCACTCGCACGACGAGATCGTTCCAACTGTGGGGAAAGGTTCAGATTGAGACGATTAATTATCATGTAAAACACTTTGGAATCATCACCGAGAAAGGTGCTAGCGAAATCAAATAGATCAGACACAGCTGCACATCCTGAGGATGGTCAAGCAATTATCATTACATCTGGACATTAGTCCACACAATTGGGGAATAATCAATTTTCACGAAAAAGGATGAGAGAAATTCTGGTTATCGGCGGAACTGGCGCTCAAGGCCTGCCGGTCAACAAAGATTCATGTCATAGCAGCTTTTTACCTGGCCTTTTGGGGTATACCTGACTTGTGATAGCCCTCTCCTCGTGCGGAAATTTCTCTGTCCGAGTGCTTACTCGAGACGCAAAGTCTGCTCGGGCGCAAGAAGTTGGACAACTTCCTAATGTGTCCCTGATTGAAGGCAGACAGGATAACCAGGAAGATCTGCATAGAGCTTTCAAGGGTGTCTACGGGGCATGGGTCAACACTGATGGCTTCACCATCGGTGAGAAGAATGAGCTATTTTACGGCTGTCGAGCTTATGAAATCGCGAGGCACCACAGAGTGCAACACTATGTCTATGCTTGTGCAGACTTCGCTCTCAAGCATGCGGACTGGGATGAGAATTACCATTGGGGCCATAATGATGCGAAAGGCAGAGTTGCAGAATATATTCTAGCTCAAGGTCAGGCTGGTATGAAAAGCTCTGTGCTTACAACTGGCCCGTATATTAACATGCTCTGGGATGGCATGTTTGTCCCTACTCAAGAATCTGATGGGACATTTGTTTGGGCTAATCCCGCAAGTATGTTTCACTACCTTACCTGATATGACCTCTACTAGTGACTAACTATGACGGTACTTCGGGCACAGAATCTGGCAAAATACCTCTTATAGCTCTAGAGGACGTTGGACATTATTCTCTTTGGCTCTTTAACAATTTGCCAGAATCCGCGGGGATGAATCTCAAAATTGCAACAGATGAAGTTAGTTTTGCGGATATAGCGGCAGCCTTCACTGAGGTGACAGGGAAGAAAGGTATGCATCGGTATGTACCTCTTGAAGAGTACCTACCCACGGCAGAGCCTTTCCCAAATGCTCCAGCCAATTTTTACGCCGGTCCAAGTGCTGTGACGGATGAATCAACGATGACATGGCGCGAAAACTTCTCCGCTTGGTGGAAATACTGGGGAGAGGGCCGGGCTGAACACCGAGACTTCACCCTTCTGAATCGAATTCACCCTAATCGTATCAGTTCACTGAGTGATTGGATGAGAATGGTTAACTACGACGGGCAACGAAAGAATGTGCTGAAGGGAGTTGAGGACCTGAAAAGAGCGGCCGCAGTGATGCAGCAACAGCAAGCAGGTTCTTCGGCCTAACCTTAGGAGCTAGTAAAATCCTGCCTAAGCGTCCATCTTCAGTCATCCGTGTGGGATTTGTTCGAGGTTTCCACACTGCAAATTACTGCTTCAATGTGAGCGGATGTGGAGGTGTATCTAATGACTCGGGTATCTCAATTTGACACATAGACATTGCTCTTTCTTGGCTTATTTAGTGTGTACTCTTTAGGTTGTCACACCAGGTGACTGTCGTACACAATCGGATATCATGGAGAAAGCGGCTAATGTTGTTTCCGCTTGGGTTTGCGTGGGGTATGTATTTTTATAGGGCTTGGTTGAGCTGTCGGATATACAAGGTGGTACAATTATTTTGAGCACTGTTGAATTGCATGAAACTAATTACACGAGGCTATTCCAATGTATTGAACCATAGTGTTCTTTTAATTCGGGTAATAAGTAGGCTGGTATGGGATAAGAGTATGTAATAATTTGGAAACCACAGCTAGTATTCTCATTCCAGGCGAAATGACAACGTAAATATCTCTTTCACGACAATCTCCTGTGTGGAGGTTCCCCTGGCATCCCAATAATCCCCAAGCACATAGACACAAGAATAGCTAGTATCAACCCGCTTAAAAAGAAGAACGAATTGAAGTCAAATTGGAGCTCGGAAAACACAATGCTAGCCTGGCACGGAGATACTGGCCCAATTGCCC